GAGGCTTCGCCTTTCAATGGCATTAGCACTCATTTGCCGTTACGCTCTCAAGTGAGGCAATTTCTTCGAGAAGCCAAGAAACAGCGGAGATATTCCGTCGAAATAAAGGAGAACGCAGTTTTTGGGGATCACAAACTGCCTTCTTGAGAAGCAAACGTTAATAAACGCTTCCACTTTCCATTTCACTATGCGATGGGAAAACAACAATAGGAACATAGAATTCCAGCGTTACGAGGCTGATGCGACTAAGCCAGTGCACGTCCTACTAACAAAGAACATTATTGCAAGATAAAGTAACTTTTAGTGGAATAGTTCAAACTTCTCCGTGTGGTTTTAGTGCTTCCCCATCTCTCATTCTACCCATCCTACCTCCAATCTTCCCAAATTTTTCCAAATTCCCACCACTTTTCCGGAGATTTTCTACTAAAAGTCCCCTGCTTTTCCCGAAAAATACTGCCGCCTAGTGGGCAGGGGAGTATAGAGCCCACGCGAAATAGGGAAAACCACAGCTGTGGCGGGTGGTACAAACTCGATGGCACTTCCCTTCTGAAGCCCCTTATTAGCTCCTATCAGTTGTCATCACTTTCTGTCCCCATTTAAAAGCGTTGGTCACCGCATTCCCTATAGTTCTCATTGATATGAACTCTTTGCCTGTATTTTGGCATACCATTTTGGCATACCTGATAACTGGATCAATTCTGTTAACAAGAGGAGTGAACGGGTCTCTTGTTACCTGCCACCAATGTCTATATAACAACCTTTATGGGTTAGAGAGTGTGAGAGCTGTACGCCTTACAGAAGGACGACGACAACAACAACAGTTATTATTCTCTATCGGTCACATTCTGTCACCAACCAGTAATACCCCCGTCACATCGCCTATATCAACCCTTAGAACCAAGTGCACACTGTTACTGTGACGGGATCAGTACTTAACATTTCTCTGCTACCCACCAATAGTGTTCCTGCCTCACCCTATATGATATCCTCGAACCAACGTCGCTCGTTGCTGGGACCGGTGCTATGATTTTTGTGACCCTCCCTTTCTAGCGGCCCTTGTCAGCTCTTATCACTTCACTTTCTGTCACCTACCGTAATAATCAAGTTGCCCCAGTATTCCAGTTATTAATTTCATTTCTCTATGGCTATATCAAAGAAAGTTGAGCTCGGTGGCACATACATACAAACCACATACATACCTTGAATACCTTGATGTCCGCTCTTCAAGGTTGGTTGCGCCATCCTTGCAGGACACATCTATGCCATTCATCACGATTTCTTGCCATTTGTTGCCATCTCTGTCCATATAGTTTCTTAAAAGGATCACTCCACCTGGCTGGGGGTCTTCCCTGTGGCCTTTTTACACCACGAGGATACCAGTTGGTTACGCGATATGTCCATCGGTTATCGTCAAGACGAGCTACGTGTCCAGCCCATCTCTTTTTCGAGTCATAAATGGTTTCGATAACATCCTTTACGCCCGTCCGTCTTCGGATTTCGCGAGCAGGGATCTTGTGCATTAGTGTTACTCGACACATTGCTCGCTCCATTGCCCTTTGCGTAGCAGCTAGTCTTCTCTCCTCATCTTTGATTGTGCTCCATGTCTCACTTCCATATACCAGTGCTGGTAGAACACCTGAGATCTTATTTGAGTTTCAATCCGTCTATCGGTGAGAACATCTCGGTATTTGTTAAATGTGGCCCATCCCGCCTTTCGACGCCGGCTGATTTCTCCTGTAAGATCATTATCCATCGTTATTGCTTGGCCAAGATACGTGAACGATGAGACTTCTCAATGACTGATCCTTTCATGCATAAACGATAGTCATTTGTGTAGTTGTTTTTCATCCATTTGGTTTTTCCTGGATGTATTACAAGTCCAATGGATTGGGAGGCTTCGCTCAAAATATTCAGGGAGCTTTCGAGTGCACTCGGTTCGCTTCCAATCAAGACTATGTCGTCTGCAAACATCAAGTATTGAAGTCTTTCGCCATCTATCTCAATGCCACAAGGCAGCTCGATTTGCCGCATTACAAGTTCTAAAGCTGCAGAGAATAGTTTTGGAGAGATGACCTCGCCTTGCCGTACGCCACGTTGGATCTTTACACGAACTGGTTCTTTGAGCAATTTTATGTCAGTGTAGCAGCTCGTGTTACATTGTCGTATTATTTCAATATATCTTCTTGAAATTCCGAACGTGGCAAGTGCGTTTAGTACCGCTTGGTGTTCGACCGTATCAAATGCCTTTTTGAAGTCAACAAAAAGATAACATAGCGGGATTCGGTATTCTCGACATCTTTCCGCAAGTTGAGAAATCACATGTATCTGATCGATGGTTGAAAAGCCTTCACGAAATCCGGCTTGTTCTCTTCTCGTATTTATATTGAGTGTTCCACTTATGCGGTTGAGGATGATACGTGAGAAGATTTTGAGTATTGTGGACAGGAGCGCTATAGGACGATAGTTGGCCAGTATATCACGCGGTCCTTTTTTGTGGATCAAAATGGTATTCGAACCCAGCCATTCCTTTGGTACAGTTCCCGACGCCAGCATTTCTGTGAAAATGTCTGCCAAAGGGCGGGCAATGAACTCCTTCAGACATTTCAGGTGTTCTGCCATAATTCGATCTGGTCCAGGCGCTCTTCCTCCTTTCGTCTGTTGAATAGCCTTCAATACTTCCGTTTCAAGTACTTTCCACTCATCTCTTGCAAGTGTGTCATCATCATCCTCACAAAATATCATGTTAGGTTGCACCAGCACTTTTGTGGAGAAGAGGTCTTGGAAAAAGTTTCGAATTTCTCCTTCCATTCCTTTTTTATTCCTGACAACAGAGCCATCTTCTTTTTGTGAGATATTCAGGGGTAATGGTTTTGAGTCGAGTGTTGATGAATGTTCTTTTGATGCTCGTGCATTTTTCAGCTGCTTCTCTTGCTTTACGTCCCGCGTATTCACGATATTCTTTCCTCACTCTATAGCGTATAGCCTTGTTTAATATAGTTCTAGCCACAGGAGTCATAGTTTTTCCCAATTCCTTCCGAGTGGCCAACATTTGCAGCGTAGTAGCACTTAATCGTTCCCGAGGTCTGCTTCGAACGCGCTCTGAAGCATTTTTAACTACATCCCGAATAGTAGAAATCAACTTTTCGTATCTGCTGTGAACATTTCCCTGTTCTGAAGAAAAGTTTGTCGTGGAAGCGAGCGCTTTTAGTCGTTCTTCAGAGAGCACATATTGAGCACGTTGCGAATAGTATGCAGCTAATCGTCTCCTTTCTTCTCTGAGCTTTATTGCTACTGTGGCTCGAACTAAACGGTGGTCCGATCCAATATTAAAATGCGATTCTCCGATCACTGTAACGTTGTGAAAGAGGCGCAAGCAGTTGGTTAAGAAGAAGTCGATTTCGTGGAACATCTGCCTGTTCGGGGTATGGTATGTCCAGCGACGTCCTACACGCTTTTGGAAATATGAGTTTGCCACTGATAATCGACTCCGTTCGGTGAATTGTGCTAAAGCCTCTCCTCTGCTGTTTCTTCCAGGTATTCCGTATGGCCCTATATAGGATTCATCAGGTTCTCCGCATCCTAAGTGGGCATTGAAGTCTCCAGCGCATATCACATATGCTCCTTTTGGAGTAGTGGCAATTGCATTTTCGAGCGCGTCGTAGAACTCTTCCACGGCTTCATCTTCGTATGCACCGGTGGGGGCATAGACCGACAGTATTTTCATCGTCTTCTTTTTGCCTAGTTCGAGCATTAGGAATCGCAATTCTTTCAGACACTACATCGCAATAGGCAATCCTTGCAGTGAGACGTGGCGATACTATGAATCCGACTCCTCCGACTTTTCCGTTGCTTGAGCCAGCTCCTAAGATCACTTCATGTCCAGTGTGCCAACTCCATCTTCCTGCATTGCTTCTTAACGTTTCTTGGACACATGCTACGTCAATCGCACACCTGTCCATTTCAGATACTAGCTGATCGATCACATAGTCGTTAACGAGACCTCGAGCGTTTATTGTTCCAATGTTTAGGAAACTGTTTGGCAGATCGCTTCTCGTGAGATTTCTCCCCCTCTGCCTTTGCCCTCTCTGCCAGGAAGGGCGGTGGCCGCACGGGACTGAGGGTACTTCTTCTTGAACTTCACTCATAGATGTTGATGGCCTGGACTTACCCTCACCGCCTAGCCATAACTGGCGGTAGTACCACTGCCGGGTGTGGTACCTGTCCAAGAGGGGCCCGTTTTTAGCCTCACTCAACGCGTCGCTGTTCCGGCAACAACAACGGGAAGCAACGTTGAGTGAGTTTACACCATCCCACCACTTTGAGGTAACGGGGCTAGGGATGGACACCACATACACTTACATCGACACAAAACTACACAGACAGACGCACAGACACACACACTTAGCGGATCATATATGTCGGATAGTATATCCAGACTAAGCATACAACCTTTTCAGCGAACAATACCTTGCGAAGAGGATCTGTTTTTCTTCAGGGAATACTTGACTTTTTTTCATAGTTGTTCGGGGCTTATAAGCAGGGCGCGCCGACCAATTTCTGCTGAATATGACCCCACCATCTCTGAAAAAGACCTTTCATTTTGTCCGCTCAGAGGACCAAATCGCAGTGCACAAACAACCGAAAATGTGTCCATCATGTGATCACAACGCAGCCCTGCCGACGAACATGAAAACCCACCCTCCGGCGACTTCCCTTCCCGACTTCTGTTTTGGAGGGGGGGAACCCTTTTAATATGCTTCTAACTCATGCTTTCTCGCCTAAGGATACAGGGCAAAGTTCGAGTGAGGACTACTATTTAGGTAAGGCTTGGTCCGCGCAAGCAAATGCGCTCCTGCGATCAGAAAGGTCGTGGGAGTGTATTTATTTTGTTTATTAATTCATGACGTCGTTGTGGGCGGCCATCGTATTTCCTGTCATCGCCCGTTCCCCACTTCTGCGCTGGCAGGTTGCTTCTGTCTTGTGTGTCTCTTCAGGGGTTCTTCACATGGATAAGTCTTTCATCATTGAAGCTGAACGACATCTGGGTATCGCTGCACCCTCACTTCAGAAAGGGCCCTGCGCTTACGACCCCCCCCCCTCCCTCGAGGTCAAATACGACCCCGTGTTGTGATCGTTACAACGATGGCGTGCCCTGCTCATAAGATAAATGCGATACTTTGGAGGATTTATTTAGTGAAAGCTCCTAGCTGCGCAAACAAATGGTTTGATTCCATGAATGCAAAAAGCGCGCTCTTCAAGATTCATCGACTGCGTTCGTCAAATCAGGGATTCTCAATACAAAGAAAACCAACGTCAACGTACCCCATGACCTGGCAAAAAGAACCTCACCGAATGACGTCTTCATTAAACGGGATTCTAAGAGGAAATTTGGTCATGTAATAATAGTGGTTATTGTATATTTACGTCTACAAATAGGAAGTCTCTACATCAATCCTCAATCCCTTTTGCATCTCTCCCCAGGAGGCCTTACGCATAGAGTGCCGACGGGCAGAGTCGATGGGGCACAGTCCGCGGAAACTAGACAGTCTCCTCTGGCATGAGCCTCACCCTATGTTAGACGTGTTAGAGATATAAAGCACAGGCGAGTGGTCTGATGGCAAACAAGCGAAACGGGAAAGGAGAAGAAGCAAGACTAAAAAGTAGCCGATAGGCACTGTAAGTACATCTTGAACTGTGAAATCGGCGCTGCTATCAGCTGTATCGATCTGCTAGCATAAAGCCAGCAATTTCATAAATCCGAGCACCGGCAAACTTGCACATTTTCAAGGTGGGAGGGGTTTTATTTGAAGCGTTTTTGGGGGATTTCTCCACTGTTTTCTTGACAACCGCCTTGGCCATTATTTGCTTCCAAACCTGTGGCCAAACTCAGAAACTTATTCCATACTGCTTGGAGACTAAGCGTCCTAGGATTGGAAGAGTGGCTATAACTGATGAGATTTTGACTGATGGGATGTTTAGCGCTTGACGGCGCCAAGTTACCAAACAGCGTCGGATGATTCAGTCTTTCTGAGTTGCTCTTTCTTGCTCTTTCTGAGTTAGTGGGCTTACCCTTAACTCAGCAAGTACGCCTTTGGCTTGATGAGTTCTCTCTGCCGAGCTAGCGATCAGGTACGATACGGACGAGTTCGCAATGATTCCCTTTCGTCGTTGGAAGTAGGCAACGTCAGCAGGAAATTGACGCTGTGGTGTGCCGTCGTTTCGCCAGCTATTCGAGAATGTGGTTTTCTTGACCACCAGCCGCTAGAATCAGAGGTAGTAATATTCGTCTTGAAGGTAAAGCCCGCGATCATTTGCCATCACAGACAGTGGATAGGGATTTGCATATTGAAGGGGGGCAAAGAAAAGTCACTTTTCTTCCTTGACTTTCGAGGTGTTATAAGTTACACTTTATCAAATTCTGATCGGACATTTCTACCACCATATTAAAGAGCATATTAAATACTATCACTACTCCGCCACAGCCTTCTGGACGAGCGCCATCGAGAGATTCTGGCACGCGACCGCGATGTGGTGCCTGAGATCAGCGAGATAGTCGATTTCTCCGCCACCGTAGA